AAAACGAGGCGATGAGAGAGCGAGAGAGAGGTGTGCTCAGTACGAGAAAACGGTTTGATTCTTTGTTTTTCAGTGATTTTCTTTCGTCATTAGTTATTGGGCCCATTTAGGGTGATTAATGGGCTGGGTCACTTTCTTTGCATTGTTTGGACCTGCTTATTAAGGATTGTTGAACAATTATTTTTAATTCTACACTAATTTAAAAAAAAAAATAAAGATACCTGTTTTAATTTAAGAAAATTATAATTTTAGAAAATATATAAATAATTCAAATGTTATAATTAGTTTTCAAAAAATAAGAAACTACAAAAATACTACCCAAAAATCCAATTTTACAAACGAATAATTTAGAAAGGGTTTTCGAAAGTCTAAATTTTTTTTTAGTAGTTTATTCATTTTTTCTCAAACAATATAAAAATAGAAAAATTGTAAGCTACGGAAAATAAGTCTGAACAAAATTAGCTTTTTTCATGTAAACAGAGTTGATAAATTTTCTTACTTTCAAAGGAAAATTTTCCTCCCTCAATCATTAAAAAAAAAAAACTATTTTTTTGTTCATCCTAAACACCTGAGACCGGAATACCCGGTCATCTCCCACCAAAAGTCAGAAAGAATAATTTGCTCCGGTGAGTTTAATCGATTTAATCCAATAAAAAAAATTATACTTGAAGTTTGATGATCTAGATCGGATTGTTTTGTCAAATGTTCCACATCATTTATTTCTTCTTACCGGAATTTTTTTGGCCTAACAATTTCTGTGATGTTGCTTTCAACATGGAATGTTCTTAGATCATTCATTTTTGTGTTGTAATACATTTTCATTTGCGTTTATTATTATTTTTTATTAGATTTTCTCGAGTAAATTTGGCCGGGTGCGAAGAAATTCATGAAGATGAAGCCTTCTATGATGAACAATTTGTTAGGTCTTCTCCGAATTCGCGTCAAGCGTGGCGTCAACCTCGCGGTTCGCGATCTCAATAGTAGTGATCCTTACGTCATCGTCAAAATGGGAAAACAGGTAACCAAAACCCATAAGTATATATATACAAATGACTATAGTATTCATTGAATAATAACATATCATTCGTTCGAGGATTAAAAATTGTTAAGATGGGATCCTAACAAATATTTAGGAGTGTGAGAGTAAAATACCAAGATTGGTTCGGTCTATTATCCCATATCTACTAACTGATATTTTTAGGTATTTACGTGCATTTATCATAATATTTTATGGTAAATACGTATTTTGTTTTGAGTTTCAAAATTTTTAGGTAATTTTGGGGTGGTTATCTCAAATAGTTCTAAAAGAGTCCGATTTTTTTTTGGTGTTCGAGTGTTTGATTAGGAAGACTTCATAATCTAAAAACTATTAACGTTGCTAGGTGACGAACATATATATAATACAATAGTGTTACTAGATCTTCACCGATATATAAGTGACCAAATTAACATTCTTATTATACGATTTCGATAAATGTTATAATACTAGTTAGATTATCGAAACGAATGTGAAATTTGAACGTGCAGAAATTGAAGACTCGAGTTATTTACAATGATGTAAATCCTGAGTGGAATGAAGATTTGACTCTCTCAGTAACAGACCCTAATCTTACTGTTCTCTTGGTAAGTAACTTACAACAATATTGCTCGTATAAAAGCCATATATGTGTTATATCATCATTGATCACTTAATTGGTTACTATTTCTTTCTTCGAAGACGGTTTACGATCACGATACATTCACGAAAGACGATAAGATGGGAGACGCAGAATTCGCGATAAAGCCATATGTTGATGCACTAAAGATGCAATTAGCAGGACTCCCATGTGGAACCATTGTGACCACGGTGCAACCTAGCCAAGACAATTGCTTAGCTGAAGCGTCTAGGGTTATTTGGTCTGATGGTAAGCTTGTTCAGGATCTAGTCCTTAGACTCAGACATGTCGAGTGTGGCGAAGTCGAGGCTCAACTTCAATGGATTGATCTTCCTGGCTCTAAAGGTATTTAGACTTTTGTTGTTTTTTTTTTTATATGGGACTTTTAGACTTGAAATTCAAAACCCTAAATTAATGTAAACAAAGGGTTTAGAAAAAGGATAAGAATATATCCTTGTATATTTCAGATCTTGAAGCTTAATAATAAGCATATTGAACATATGAACACAAAACTATCACTTTTAATTTATTTTATGTCATTTTGAGTGAATTGTTTCATGAATATGCATTAAATTGAGGACAAGTTAGGATGTTATAAAAGGTTTCAATTTTTAATGTGTCACAAATTAGCTCATTTTCTTGACACTTGTAACACATCTAATTAGGTTTTAAATAAACCATATATTTTTAATTTATTTCTAATAAATCTTCTCATCATTCTTTTTCCCGTCCTCGTACTCATCCTTAGACGTATAGAACATGTCTAAACGGTTAACTTGAAGACGTAGCGAATACCCAAACTTCTTGTACTCACCCCAAGTAAATGTTTGGTATAGAGGCGGCTGATTCTTCGCCGCAATCAATGCCGAAATAGGTCCAATCTTTGTTTGAAGCGGCGGTCCGACGAAGTACCCCGTTGAGAGCCGGCTTTTTGTTTCGGAAGTCAAGGACACTCTATGCCTTACGCTAATAAATCGCCCGTTCGTCATCACCTTAAAAGTACTCAAAAAGTAATTTAAAACTAATTGACAATTCTAAAAAATTCATGAAATGGCAGAAAAAAATGTTTATAAAATTAAAGTAGGACAATCATGTTTAGGGATTGGTTTTACTATTCTAGTTTTATTGGTTTAATAGAAATTGAAAAAAAAAAACTGCAATTTGAATTGGT